TCTTGGCACATTCTCAGCAAGCTATATATATAAGCTCAGAGTTGGCATTACTTCTTTGGGAGTTATTTCTGCAGTCTAAGACATTAGCTCAGAGTTGGCATTACTTGTTGGGAGTTATTTCTGCAGTCTAAGACATTATATGTCCCTCTTTGTTATAAACGGTTGCTTAATTCTTGTGTTCAGTTCTTCACACTCAGAGATAAATTATGCCAAGAATCATGGCTTTGGAATCCCACTTCTCTTAAGTCCACCCAGTGTAACAACCAGATTTGAAATCACCCTCTTTCTTCTTTCCAGCTTCCCATCTCCCTCCATATTCAACCTCCTTCTTCCTCACTGCATTGAACAGTGCTGCTCTTTGTTCAGCTTTGCCATAGAAACCAAGGTCTCACAAGTTCAACTTTCCTAGACCTTGTCTCCTCTTACAAGCAAGTAATTAGAATTATAGTTATACAGAACTGTTGGGATGTTTAACCTAAAGGTTTTCCTCTTAGAACCAAGAACGCAACATTAATTCTCATGGCAAGCCATTTGAGACAGTAGATGCCAAAACACTTTTTAAAATGTACAACCTCAAAACTTTATTCACAAAGACCATAATCTCATTGTTATTCCCTACTAGGATAAGATCACTGAATCAATAACTGAACCATATATCTTTCTCATTGAGTTCAATGAGTAGGGATCACCAAATGGATTCAGTGTATATAGACTAAAACTGTTTATGTGGCAATAATCTGCACAATAAACTTGCTGTATGCATACTCCGATATGTACCTTCTAAACAGAGATGCAGAGGATTCTGTTGTTGGTTTCATTTGTCTCTAAGAGATTTATATAATGATAATAATAATCCTAGCTGAGTTTTATGCAAAGCTTTGAAAATCTTTTAGACTACAACTCAGAACATTCTCCAGCCACTACAACTGCTGGCTGATAGCCAGACTGTCTACGAGATTCTCTGATATTGTGCAAAGATGAACTTTTTCTAGCTATCGATCCATGCGGCATACTTCCAAGTCTACATGTGTTTGGAACCACAGCCCTAGCTAATTTATTATCATCAGGCTTAAACTATCTATGGCTGCTTCCATTTATATTCTATCTATCCTTTGTGGCACCTTCACTATTGTTTCTTTGAGTGACTTCTGGCACATTGCCAAAATGGCTGGAGACCATGCGAAGACGTTGAACAAGTTATCTCTAATATAATAATATATCATTAATCTGAATCCAATTTATGGGGACCCTTTCCAGAACTTCTTAGGTATAGCATACTCAGAGGTGGTTTATCATTCCCTTTTTCTGGGGTGCTTTGGGACTGTGTTGTTTGTTAAAGGCAGAAGCCTCTGTGCTGCAAGGTCAGAAGACCTGCAGTTGTAAGATTGAATCCACGTGACGGAGTGAGCCCCCGTCTCTTGTCCCAGCTCCTGCCAACCTAACAGTTCGAAAGCATGCAAAATGCAAACATGCGAGTAGATAAATAGGTACCACCACAGTGGGAAGGTAACGGAGTTCCGTGTCTAGTCGCGCTGGCCACGTGACCACGGAAGATTGTCTTTGGACAAACGCTAGCTCTATGGGTTGGAAACAGGGATGAGTACCACCCCCTAGATTCAGACGTGACTGGACAAATTGTCAAGGAGAACCTTTACCTTACACAAGCAGGCTCTTCTCTACAAAGCACAGTGGGGAATTAAACTCCTGATCTTTGGCTCCACAGCCAGCTGCTCCAAGTCACTAAACTAGCCAGAACATGATAGTGACATAATTACTACCCCCATGTGACTCAGAGGGGTATTGCATAGACTAGAGAACCAAGCAAGTTTGTTTCCTGTTGCTCCAGAGCCTAGGACCTGAACGAATGGGTTCACAGTAGTGAAGATGGTGTGCTGAGTATGAGACAAGTATTGGAATGAGTATGAGAGCGTGGCTCTATGTTTATCTGTGAGTGAAGGGGTCTGGTCAATCACATCATGGACTGCATATCAACCATAAGTGGCCCTGCCCTCTCCGGGATGGGGTTCTTCCAACTGCTGACTTTGGATCTTCAGGTTAAAAAGCATCCCCTATCCTTGCATTAGGAAGAATTGCCTGATGATATGAGTTATTCAAGAGTGGAAAAGTGTGACTTGGGAGATAGTTGACTCTTCTCCAACAGAGATTTCAAACAGATACTAGATGGTGCTGTACTAATAGTTTTGTACAACATTTATGACGTCTGAGGCACCATTCAGCTACAAATTAGATCAGCAATGCTGAGAAACAAAGCATGAGCAAATACTGCTACAGTATATGAATGGAGCAAATGGTGCTACAATCACTGAGGATTTAATTTCATTAGGATGGATCCCACAAGTTACCGAAAAGTCTTTGTGGAAAACTTACTTCTAAAATACCTTCTTTTTCAAAATTAATTTCATTCACAGAATAATTTTGGCCTGTATAGGTTAATTAATTCATTTTGTGAAGGGTGCTTCAGTTCCCCAGACCCTCTAATACCCATACTTCACTATGAAAGAGGAGAACTGTAATCTTCATACAATCTTCTATTTACTTGTATAAGATTTAAACACACACACACATACTGTACAAATTTCCAATACTTATTAATGGTTTTGTCAAAACTGGCTGAGCTTCTTTACAGAATCCTACCTGTTATAACGGAGAAGAAGGTGTCCAACTCCGTGAGTAAAAGTAATAGTATGGGGAGATGGCAGATGGGCAACAGCTTCCAGGGTCAAAACAATAGGATTTTTTAAAAAATTAACAAAGGCAATGACATCATCAATGACCCTTTTGAGTTTAGCTGCAAATCTTACAACAGTTGGAGTAGTAAGATAGCCTTCTCCAGCAACATCAGTATTTGGGCTAAAATCCTGTTAGTACAATTATGTCTGTGGAAGGCTGATGACATCATCACTGGCTGAGCTTCTTTACAGAATCCTACCTGTTATAATGGAGAAGGAGGTGTCCAACTCCTTGAGTAAAAGTAATAGTAAGGGGAGATGGCAGAGGTGAAGTTGGGCAACAGCTTCCAGGGTTAAAACAATAGGATTTTTTAAAAAAATTAACAAAAGCAATGACATCATCAATGACCCTTTTGAGTTTAGCTGCAAATCTCACAGCAGTTGGAGTAGTAAGATAGCCTTCTCCAGCAACATCAGTATTTGGGCTGAAATCCTGTTAGTACAACTATGCCTGTGGGAAGGCTGATGATGTCATCCGTGGGGGCAGGGCTAGAAATGAAACATTTCCAGTGTTCGTCCTGTGGTTCCTACAGTGCCCTTTCATCATTTGGAAGTCCTACAAGCGGCGGACTAGAACGAGGATGGGCTTCTTTCTGAAACCCCACTTGCCCAATATCATTATCAGCCTTCTGCAGGTGCAGTTGCGCCAACAGGATTTCAGCCTTTGTTGTGAATCTATAAAGGCTTTTTCCACAACCCGGCCTTTTCACGTAGATGGAGTGCCTCACTCCCTCTGCCAACAGCAGCTCTTTCCTCTCTGTATAACAGACAGGGGGCATAGTCCTATTGTAGGAAATGATGTTTTCTCAGCGCAACCAGGAGACTCAAGAAACAAACAAATCCCCACGCCCTAAAGGTTTGCATCCTCTCTTTCTTAACTGAAAGAGGTGTGTTTTTTTAATCAGTTCACAACAGAAAAGGCACTGGAAAGGCTGGATTTTATCTAGGAAGAAGTTATGTTTTATTACATTAAGCTAAAAAGAGGATCAACATACTGTTAGAAAAAGCGCTGTCTGCTAGAATTCAACTCTCTCTCTCTCTATAACTGTGTCAGCCCTATGGCTTCAGTTCAATTCCTACATTTGAAGAAAGATTACTGAAGTGAAACATGAAACCAGGTCATTAAAACTAATCTTATTATATGAGAAAGGTATTGCCAGCAAAGGAAAAAATACTATTCACTGGCTTTCCATTGTAATAATTTTCAAAAGGGATAGCTGTACTAGACGGTCGGAGCAAAACCAAGAGACTTTTATGACACCTTAAAGGCTAACACATTTCCTAAGGTATCGGAGGAAGCGGACTTAAGTCATAACAGCTTATGCAGTACTAAATTTATTAGCCTTTAAGGTGCCACAAGTCTCCATTGTTTTCACTGACTTTGGGTCTGCAAGTGTTTAAAGACATATTCACAGAATGCTATTAAAAACAAGTCTATATAGGCTGCTACTAAACGCTAGACCCATTTTCACGAATGTTTGCTATGAAAGCCTACTCAGTATGGAGGTGGGTGGGATGTCTTCATGAAAGCAGTTTTCCCAAGTAAATTCTTCTTAAGGGTGCTGCTCACAAATCGGCCAAATCAATGGCTTGGGGCCCCGTTACTTGTCAGAGTGCCTGTCTTCAAGCACACTGATCTGCACTACCATATCCTCTCAAGCCATGTTTCTCTGGCTTGTCACATGGAGCGAGGCCAGGAAGTCAAGCCTTCTCAGTTGTGGCGCCAGCCCTCTGGAACTGGCTCTCAGTCAAACTGTGCCCAGCCGCCTCCCTGCCTACCTTTAAGTGGAGGGGAAAGCAGGGATCAAAGCAATCCTGCAGCACTTTGATCCCTTTCCCCCTACACTTGCTAAGCCCCATTTATTTTTCTTAATTTTGGATTAGAAAAGTGGGGGTGTGTCTTATACACGGGGGCATCTTATACATGGAAAAATACGGTACTTTGCACTAATGGGGCAATATTAAAATCCATGAAATAAATAAATGTATGGCTATTTTAGAAATTTTCTGAATGAGCTTTATCATAAGAACGTAAGAAGAGCCACACTGGACCAATCTCATCCAGCATTCTTTCCACATAGTGGCAACCAGTTGTTTTATGAAGATCTCCCCCGCAGAACAGGAGTGCTATTCAAAGGATTTGGGGTCTATCCCATTTCGTCCACTCAGCCTGAGACAAGGTATGAGGATGTTGTCCTTGGTAGCTTTCAAGGACTCTGCAGGATTAACCATTTTTAGTGTTAAGCTTACCTCTTTCGCCAGGTCTGCCAGGTTGCCCAGGATTGCCTGGAAACCCTGGCCTTCCTGGAGAGCCTTGTTCTCCCTGTGGTCCTGGTAACCCTTGACGTCCTGGTTCACCAGGGGGTCCAGGGACTGTTCTTGTTGAGACAGATTGGCTGGGAATCTGATTTAAGATGGAGTTATATCTGGCCAGATGACCTGCAAAATAAATGAACTCGAGGAAATATATAGTCAGCCATTATGCTTAAACCAACCATAATGCATAGTTGTTGGGCTAGGCTTTGCTCAGTGGATCACAGTCTGCACCGCTGTATTTTAGAAATACACAAATACTACCATAGGCATCCTTCAGTCTCGAGAGACTATGGTAACATGCTCTGAATCGAGGAGCGTCCTCTCCAGAGCATGAAGCCTGGGTAAAGGAATATGGAGGATAGGCTGTTACCCAAGCAGCAGATCCCCCCCTCTCCACGTTGCTGAAATGGTCCAATGGAAAGGCAAGAGCCAATACAACTGGTTCTAGCAATGTCACAGGAGTTGGCAGAATGACATGAACTGCGTTCGGGACTCCAGCTCCAGATTTTGCCTCGAGGTTAACTCCTGAAGCCTTTTCCATGAGTGGATATAACCACAAGGCAGTGGAAGTTTGAAATCGGAGTTTTCCTTCTCCTAGATGGGCTGCCTTCCAAGGCTGACAAGCCCCACCTACCTGGCCTGCTCTTTAATAGTGCGGAAGTATGATCTGACCCTTAAAACTTTCCTGCCTCCCAGGTGTATGCAAATCTCATTGGCTTTCCTATTTACCATATACCACAAATACTAGTTACGGATGAAATCTGTGCTGATGAGAATTATGAACAAAAACTTTAGTTCTGGAACCCACCTTGGCACCATATACCACAAATGCTAGTTACAAATGAAATCTGTGCTGATGAGAATTATGAGCAAAAACTTTAGTTCTGGAACCCACCTTGGATAAGCTGTTCACACACCTGACGTGCTACTGCACGAACCATTGCATGAGACTGAAGGTCCCCCTGTATAAGAAAAACATTATCATGATACATCAACATCTGCAAGCAGCATAATGTTCCTCATGGAGATACTGCAAGTTTCATCAAATGTAGAAGCTCCTTGCCATGAATACTGAAAGATATGTCACAGTACCACTTGTTTTTATGACTCTATAATCTTATGCATGTCTACTCAAAAGCAAATCCCACTATGAGGAATAAGACTTCCTCCTGGACACATGTGCAAAGAATGGTGGCCTAAGTGTCTGCAAAAGAAATGGCTCACATCATTGCAATTTTTTTTCACAGCCTGAAGGACTTAAGAGGAGAAATAAAAGAAGATAATACTGTAATTATATTAAGATTGGGTATTCTTTGTTGGTTTTTCGATTTGAATTTAAACGGGGGGCACAACATTTTGAAAAGTCGGCTGGAGTACAAGAGTGCCATCTTTTAAGCTCAATAGAATGTGTGCATTAATGGATAATAGCCATGAATTATATTATTCACAGAGATAAATTTATTATGTATGCAACTGTATGCGTAATCAGTTTATAACTATTGCATAATAATACCTTTTATTGTTGTTATTTCAAAGATTGACAATAATTTTTTTTAAAAAAATCTTGAATGATGAGTACCTGTTTCTTTACTTAAATACACAAACACACCTTAACTCTCCTCCTATTCCTCCTAAGTGTATAAATCTGTAATTAAAAGACACTTACACGTTCACCTCTCTCGCCTTTTGCTCCAGGAGGTCCCTGTGAGGAGGAAAACAAAAGACAAAACTGAATTTATTCCTTGATGTAATTCCTTGCTTCTTCTCTCCTTTCTTCTTTGCTGTGATTTATGGGCCTTTTTAATTTTGTGTAAGTCCCAGGGCTTTCCACACATTGCAGCAGAGGTTATGTCAACAGCTTTGGTTGCAGGTCATAATGCATTTCAGACACCATGGCAAAACAGATTGTTGCTGGCACAGGTCAGCTGCAATGCGTCCATGCAAAATGGTCCCCATCCAGAAGAAGAAAGAGAAGATCTGTATGCATTGTGGGTCTTTTACAGCCAGCATCTTACATCAGATCTTGTTCACAGCAGTGAAAGCTATTTTTAAATCTCTTTTGGGCTGGAGTACATGTATAAATAGCCTCCTTGGATGAAGGCATTTTTATTCTCGGACTATGTGGAGTATAAGAAAAGAAACCAAAAAGAATAGTTTTATGAGGTTCTGAGAGTCAAACTGGACATGACTTTAATAGTGGAATTAACAAGGACATCTGAGTTCGTTAAACATTTAATCCTCGGGAAAGAGGAGAGGCACTTTTTATCAGGACACCTTCCTCACTTAGAACCCAAGCATATATCCTCTCCTCCACAGCTGTCTAAAAAATACTCAGTGACACTAACAGGAAGTTGTTTTGTAAACCTGACTGTCATGGACAGAGAAGCAATTTTTGCCAGGAAGGGAGCTGGGGTTATGGAGAAGGGCTAAAATTCCCTTTTCATGGACTGTTGTATCTGTTAAAATGGGTGTTGGGCTACTCATTATATGGCTATTTTTAACAACAGCATAAACATTTCATGCAGTTAAAACAAAATATTCATGTGTAAGCTTTTCAAAACTAAAATATATCCACAGAGGTCTTGTGAATGCTCAAGACTAGGGATCTCCAAACTAGGGCCCACCTTGCCATTCCATCTGGCCCACCTTGCCATTTTATCAAGCCCGTTCCCTTCAGCCCATGTGTGCGTATGTGCAAGAGGTGGGCATGCGGGCGGGTATGTGGGGCAGGGGCAGGGGTGCGCATGCGCACACAGGGAGGCTGCACACAGGGTTGGGTGTGTGCAGCTTCCTTTGGCCCTCAAAAATGTTGAAAATATGCATGCGCACGCAGGGAGGCCCTCAAAAATGTTGAAAATATACAATGTGGCCCTCATGCTGAAAAGTTTGGAAACCTCTGCTCAAGACAATGCATGTGTAAGTATTCTTTTTAAAAAGAGCAAAAGAGCTTCAGCATAAAGTCTTTATAAACAGCAAACTGAAGACAGAGGACGTAAAAATGAGACTGAATTTTTGAGATGGATTCATCACGATAGGGTACTTTTACCACGTTGGTTTCACAGTGTTCACAATGTTGCTTGACCTCAACCTCACCTCTCTAGTATATTGTAAATCATCATACAGTAGAATCTGTTCTATAATATTTTATATGTCTCTCAAGTCTCTGTCTCCTTACAAAGTTATTCTTTCTTTTACTTCCACCCCTCAAAATGTGGGATGGGGGAGAGAACTGTTGGAACAAAATTAAAGACAGAGGAAATATCCCCCTGTTCATCATACAGATCATACTTTGTAGAATTTCCTCAGTTTCTCCACAGTATTCTCACACAGTGCCTCTGCAAGGAGGTTTTGAGGTTCACCATGAGCAAAATGAATTGACTCCATATAAAGCAGTGACACTGGTTTACTTTAATGAAGTCCACAGATGATTCCCCCTGATACTAACTCAAAGGTTAAATATAAAATGATGAAAAAGTTTATTAAAAATGCATATAAAATCACAACAACTTCACTGGCTACGGATCAAGGTGCTAGTTTGAATTATAGAGCCTTACATGACTTCAGGCTATTCCAAAGGACCATCTTTCTGTCTAAGCCTCACCAGATTTTAGAACCTTTGACGGAGGCCTTACTCTTAATCCTGACACCCTTACAGAAATGTCTGGCCAGGACATGAGTGTAGGTCTAAAATGGCTGCTTTGAGGCTGTGGAAATATCTCCTAAACAAAGCTACGCCAGCTCCCTCCTGGCTGTCCTTTTGCCAGCAGGCAGACTTTTCTGCTCAGCTGGCTTTTGGCAAGTGCTCGGCTATCAAGGAATGGGTTTTAAAAAGGGGTGGGATGTTGCACTTCTAAAGTTTGTGGATATCATTTAGAATTGATTTCTTCAGTGCTTGTTTTAATATTTGATGTTTTTAATTGCTTTTTAAATATATTTTAAAATTTGCATTTTTTTTAAAAAAAACTGAATTTGTTAGCCTCCTTGAGTCCCTTTATCCGCGAAAAGGCACTGTATAAGTAAAATGAATGAGTGAACCACAATATGCCAAATGGTTAAAATAAACAACTTGAAATGAGGCAGATAGTTCATGAGAACATTTCCTCCAGCTTAGAGAAAATATTTTTGAGGTCCATGAAAAACAAGGTCACTGGAAACCTCTCCCTTCAGCTAGGCTGGCCTTCCTTGCACTTCTATTCACTACTTTTTCCTGGAAAGTCCTAGACTTCTTTGTAAACCTCAGACAGATGCTGGGAAAGTGGGATAAATGAGCCTGGGAGGAAAAAGTTCAGCAGCCTGGCCTTCTACGCACTGCTTTCTTCCTGTGGATACCTTCCAGTCTTCCTCACTGCTCGGTTAGATGACAGACTGAGGGTATGGTTACACTATGAAAATGACTCAGCAGCTGGATTGGGACTTCTGAAATTGGATTAAAGTCACATGGGAGTCACATGGTATTTGGGCCAGTGTGTGCATATCGTCTTGGGAAAACTTTTAATTGATTCTTAAACTGTGTTGTATATCGTCTGAGGGTGCTCCATGAGCTGTTAAAATGGTTGCAACTGAGGATTTGTCCTAACACCTGCCTGTCTCCCCTTGCACTGGCCCCTCACTGCTGCTGCTGTGGTGATCTTTTTAATATTTGCTTTACGTTTTTATTTCTTTCAAACTGGCACATCACTGTCAGTATTACAGACAGGAAAAAAAAAAACAGATTGGACTACAGCCCTTGGAAGCCAGGCAGAGTCTAATTTTTTGAAGTGAAAGCAGCCTCTTTTCCTCACCCGGAATCTTCTGAGTGAGGACAGGTACAGGGAGAGATGGGTTGTGGGGAGTGAGGGAACTGGCAACCAGTGCCAGCAAGAGGAAAGGCAAGAGAAATTGATCAGAGACATTGATGAAGCCCAGCAGCTTCTCAGTTTTGGAAGGAGGGAGAACTTTCCCCCTCCTGCTGGCTGCCAGTTTTAAAAAATTTCTTGCAAACTGGCATATCAAAAACAGATAGAACCCCAAGGTGTCCTGAGGCCCAAAACTTGTGACCCTGACATCCATTACTTCACAAACCCCACAAACACAATTTACTCTGATAGAGGTGTTCACATATGACAAAACAATTGAAAAAATAATTGAGTTCACATAGGAGTTAAAATAAACAAGCCCTTGGTTGCTATTTATTTTACCTCACATCCAAACAAACAAACAAACAAAAACACATCTTTCCATATATAAGTGCACTGAGCTGTATGTCCTGTAAACAAGTATTTTTAAATTGATTCCAAACCTATTTAACCTATTGAAATACTGTGTCCCCCTCTCTCCCGCAATATGTAACCACACTGTAAGGAAGCAATTAGATGAGCATATAGCTCATTATTTGGTTCACTTTTTTCTGCAGATTGGTTTGCCCTGTATTGACAATCTCCCAATAAGAACAACCACACACAATTAGTGTGGAGCCACATTGTGTATAACACGTGTGGTCCACATGCAGCTTCAACAGAGGGAATTTGGACAACAACAGGTACAATTTGGGGGAGTTACACAGGGGCAGGTCTGCATTTTGTATGATGATAAATTTTATCTGGTGTTCTGTTACTTACAGGTACTCCAGCATCACCTTGTGGGCCAATACTACCCATAACCCCAGGTGAACCTGGGGCCCCAGGTATCCCCTGCATGAAGAGAGCAAAAGAAAGCATTCACCAATTAATAATAATCATACACAATTAAGTTACAGTAGTTCTAACTTATTTTAATCCTCCTTAGGATTTTCAAAGTATGAAGTGCTGAGAATTCTTTTGTGGTAAGGCCCAGGTTTTTTTAATAGAGTACAGTGGGGTCTCTACTTAAGGATGTCCCTACTTAAGAACAATCCAACTTAAGAACAGCTCTATTTGCTAAATTTTGCTTCTACTTGAGAACAGAAATCCAAGATAAGAACAGGAAAAAAACCCTTTCCTGCTCTTTTTTTAACCTTAGGTTAACTTAGGTTAAAAAAAAATTCTCCCCCTAGTGGTAGAGTACGTATTAACCAGGTTTGCATTAGTTCCTATGAGAACTAATGCTTCAATGTACGAACGCACCTCTACATAACAAAAAAACAGCCAGAACGGATTAATTGGTTTTCAGTCCATTCCTATGGGAAATTTTGCTTCAACTTAAGAACGTTTCGACTTAAGAACACCATTCCAAAGCGGATTAAGTTCTGAAGTAGAGGTTCCACTGTAGTTTCTATGGACGGAAAAGAGCAGATACGGATTAAATGGTTTTCAATGCATTCCTATGGGAAATGCAGATTCAACATAAGAACTTTTCAACTTGAGAACCACCTTCCAATACGGATTAAGTTCTTAAGTAGAGACCCCACTGTACTTCAAAAGACAGGAAAGACTGAAGCCCACTAGCGAGCCCCATGGTGGAGTGGTTAAACTGCACTGCTGCAGTCAAGCCTCTGCTTATGACCTGAGTTTGATCCCAACAGGTTCAGGTAGCCAGCTCAAGCTTGACTCAGCCTTCCATCCTTCCAAGGTCGATAAACTGAATATTCAGCTGGGGGGAGGATGTGTGGCCTCCATAGTTATGTTGTAAACCACCCAGAGAGTGCTCTAGCACTGTGGGGTGGTATATACGTCAAAACAACAACAAACACTTATCAACAGTTAATGGAGTTCTGATGCTTACCACAGGCCCTGGAGGTCCTTGAGATCCAGTTTGTCCATCTTTGCCTGGTAGCCCCTAGATGAAAAGAAGGTACACAAATTAGGGTACTGTTCTTGATGAAAAGGAATTGTCACTAGCTGAGATACCACTGTTCCTTATGCATAATGATCACAAGGCAAAACTCTGAACAGCACCTGTTTTTCCTTTTTATTTCCCTGCTTAAAGGTCAATCGCCATTATCTGGAGCTTTTGACTTTTCCCGAGCCTGATAAACGGGGAAAAAGCAGGAAGATTCCTTCCTTCTCACTTCCATCAAGTGATGGGAAGAGTCAGATCTTTAGAGCAGGGGTGGGCATCAGTAGGGTTGCCAGATATCCGGCATAAGGAGGACATGTCCTCCTTTTAAGCCTAATGTCCTCCGTCTGGCAGGGCAGGCAAAAAACCTTTAAAATGTCCAGTTTTTGTAATATTTTATGTTATAATTTTGGATGGGAGAGGGAGAGGTGGAAAGCAGTCCCTGATGGCATCACAATCTAATACACCATTTCGGGCTGTAAATCAGCCACGCCCACATGGAGCCTTTGCTTCTGGAGGTGACTTCCTGCTTCATTTGAACAAGCTGTGCATAAAGATTAGCAAGGAAAGGGGAGCAAGATATATACAGTGGTGCCTCGCTTAACGGCGATAATCCATTCCAGGAAAATCACTGTTAAGCGAAAACGTCGTAAAGCAAAAATAAAAAGCCCATTGAAACACATTGAAAACCGGAAAGGGGAAAATAGTTTGTGGGTTTGCCCAGAGGTATTCGAGCAAGCAGCAGGAGTCGACAAAGGAGAGGCGGTGGCGGCTAGAAAAGATTGAGGAAGGCTGGCGGAGAAGAAGTGAAGCTGCAGGGAAGGGGAGCCAGAGCAAGAGCGTGGCTCCGCACCAGGCGCCTGCCAGAGAAAGAGGGAGAGGGAGAAGAGGAGGCAGCCACCACTGCTGCCGCCGCCGCAAAAGGAGGCGGGAAAGAAAGGGGAACCTTCTCACAGAGCTCAACTTGGCGCAAGTGAAGGAGCAACTACAGCAGGCGCCGGGATATGTTGTATAATAATTGTACAATTGGCTGTTTAAATAATGTTTTTGATATTTTGAAAAAAAGCCTCATTTGAATTTATTTTTATTGTTTAACATGACTGTTTCTTGGTCGGTTCACTAAGAGACATTTATCAGCAGCTATTGTAATAAAATTGTATTGAATGAGGGTTTAATCCAGAACGATTCCAATGAAACAATCAATATGTCCTTCTCTGTCCTCTTTTTTGTCTTTCTATGTCCTCCTTTTGGTACCCATGTATCTGACAACCCTAGGCACCACAGATGGATCCTCCATGATCCCAACCATCCTCCCATTTTACTTTTACTGAGAAAGGCGCCTTGTGTCCTCTAGCAGGCAAGTTCAGGATGTTTTCTTCCCCAAAAGCTGGACATTTGGCAGATAAGTGGACTCTTTCAAAAGCGGAAGTCATCAGAAGTTACAAAAACACCAAATAAACAGACAGACAAACACACAGTTTTGCCCAGGAATCCTTCAGCAGCAGGATGGGTAAGAACATGACAAAATGGCCTCCAAGTCCCCTGGAGGGTTTAGGAAGCCTTTCTGAGTAAAAAATAATGGAAAGGGCTGCACTTTGCCCACCTTCATTTCGGGCATCATTGATGAGTGGCAATACAGAAAATAAGACATGAAGCTGCCATTTTACCCCAACATCCACATACCATTGCCAGGAATGGATGGTGACAAAAAGAGATGTTTCCATTTATGATTCTTTTTTACATTATTTTCAAATTATGCCCCATGTTCTTATGTGTAGCTCCTCCTATGTAACTGCTAAGGAATATATCCACGCAAACCCTCTAGGTGAGCTTACTTTGGCACTCTTAACTGTAGAGTTTGGCCATTTACAAATTTCCTCCTCCCGTATTTTGTTAGGTGTGAAAACAGCCTTTTATAAATGAAGTTGAACAGAAGCCTGTTTAAGAAGCACCTGGGCAGAGAATGCTTCTTCTGCTGTCTCGCCAATGAAGACCAAAGACCAATGTTTAGTCCGCTTCAAAACTTATTCCTAGATTTCATTTCTCAGGTGATCAAATGACAGATAGGCATCGTAACCTAATTCTGGAAATACAGAATGCAAAGAAGGACTGTAAATGTATGAAAACAAGGTGTTTGGGCCACTGTGGTCATGTGCTGAATAAGAGTTCTTTCAGTCATTTTTTTTAAAGGAAGGAAATACTGGTTATTACTCTTAATGCAATATTTGCATTACCCCCCAAGCCAGCTGGAATTGTCTCACATCCCACTCCCATTTAATGATGGGAGAGGGTAGACATCCTGTGGAAGGATAATTGCTCTCTTGTCCCACAGTAAATTAAAGAATTCAAGGCCAGAAACGGATAGCAGGCATCATGAAGGGGAGTCCCATTTACGGGGAGTTCCCAGACTATGCAGACGAAAAGAAATTTCCAAGGAGAGGAAGCTGGGGACACTACTTCCCATATTTCTTTATAACCTCAGACACACGCTGGGAAAGTGGGATAAATGAGTCTGGGAGGAAAAGGTTCAGCAGCCTGGCCTCCTACTCACTGCTTTCTTCCTGCGAATGCCTTTCAGCCTTCTAGATGGCAGAATGGGGGGGGGGTGTCTCACCAGCATATAACTCACTTTTGCTGAATTTAGTTTGCTCTCTTTCTGGTGACCACATGTGTTTTAAACAAGAGTAATCCATCCCACCTCTTTTGCGAGCCATTCTGCTCTTTTCTGGCACCGTGCTAGGGCTGCAGTTTATTTGGTACAATTGAGAGGGCTCCCGATTTCTTCCATTCTGCAAACTGTGTGATTGTTTACTTCACTCCTAAATACAGCTGTAGGTTTTGTTCCTTTAAGTGACAACCTTGTGGCTAATACAGTGGTTCCTGACAGTAGAAAGTACAATGTCCCCTCTATTTTCTGGGTGTGGTAAATTCTTTTTAAGTATTCTCCTAAGTGACACAGTGCTATTTCAGATATAAGGGAATATCCATGCTAGGTTGATGTACTGCTGTAATTAAATAACAACAAAAAAAGGAAAGTCACAGGGGAATGATAACCATAACAAAAGGCAGGGAAAGGGGTGGGACAGGGGGTCATTAATTGAAAGGGGGAGAGATGGGAGTGATCTGAAGTGCCGTCTGAATCCTTCTCATGGGGAAAGAAATGTCTTTCATGTGAATGGAAGGCTCACTTGAGTTTGAGATAAAACAAATCACACCAAAGTTAAAAGCCTTTTAAATGTGACCTCAGTCACTCCGAATTCCCCTGTCTAGTCACGCCCTTAGACATTGTGTGTCAGAAGAAGAGAATTTTGATCCCATAAATCTTACACTGAAACAAATTTGGCAATTTTAATCATGCCACAGTACTTTTGTTTTGTTTCTGTTATACATGCTTCTGACAAGGATAGCTAACCAACTCATTTTATAAACTCAAATAGAGTCCCAGTGGAGTAATTCTGGCGCCAACAGCCGTTAATGATGTGTGACTGAAAACATGCCTTCCTCTTTTAAGTGATACTAGTCATGCTATGCATTTGTCCTGTTGGTCCTCTAAGTGCTATGTCACTGCTTTGTCACAGCTTAGATTACTGTATAGCTGGCCCTGAGGGCATGAGGAAAGATCTTAAGTCAAGAGAAAGTTCTGATTCTTTGCTCCCTAAAATAGGAATACTCCCACCTGTGAAGCATCACAGACATTTAGCTAGAGGCCAACCCATTTAAGACTCTTTCAATATTACTATGTCTGTCAATTTGGGATGTGAAAAATACTTCCTAAATTCCTTGTCCTCAGAGAGAATCAGTCCAACAAGGCACCCAAGGAAATTAAAACCACTGTGAGACTACAGAGGAGCAAAGATATGTTTTATCTTCTGTTAAAGTGTCTGTATTTTGCACACAATCTATGTAAAACTAATATTCTTTTCCTGAAAAGCAACACGCACAGAGAGAGCAAGCCCAGAACGGCTGATAAGAAAGGCACAAATAACCCATCGATTTCTTACACATCTGAAACAATGCAGGAGTTGTTCTAGTTCTACAAAAATTGGACAGTTTTCAGAAACGGTGCTATTTTCAAAGAATCATAAAATCGTGAAGTAGGAAGGACCCTATAAGGCCATTGAGTCCAAACCCCCTGGATCAAGGCAGGAATACAGGGATAGATTTTTGGCCCCCTCCCACAAAAATCCTGGTCAATTTGGCAAGAACAAGCCAACAATGGCATGTTCTTGCCATTGAAAGAACAGTTTCCGGAGTTCCTGCAAAATCCTCACTGTTTTATTAGTGAGGATAAGAAAGTAGCAGCACCTTGTTCACCCTTTTCAGGATGAAACAAATACAGATGTACATCCCTGCCCTTGATGGAGGGCCAATAGTCATCAGGACAAAGCCCAGACCATTAGCAGCTGAAGGATTCTCCCACCTTTAACAGGATGACCCAGAAAGCAAGTTGAGCCAAACATTTATGATAGCAAGTGTTCTCAAAATGGAACCCTTGCCAAAAGTCTTGCTGCTATGAAGTCATATCCAAAAAATTAAGAAAACAAAAGAAACAAAAGAAACTATATATATATATTTTACAAAAAGAGTTGTGGCTTGTTTCTTTTCCAAGTCTTATGTCTCATGCATTCTTTCTCCTATCTCTGCTCTATTACCATCTTTGGAAACAACTGCCATTAGAATGCATTAAATTCAGAGTGATCAGCTGAGAATTTTATGGACCATCCTCAAAAGGCTAAGCAAAAACATGTTGCCTCTCCACATGGTGGATACAATGGACTGAGAAAGTGTTGGCCTGATTTTCCGACCTCTTTATTTGTCTACTGGATTCAGAATGGATTGGCTTCTGATCTATGCCTCCTTTTCTTTTTTCTTTAATGCAATCAACAAATAATGACAGTGGTGGGTGGTTGAGAGTTTGGAAGCGTCATTTGGTTGGTTTCCAACTCCCAAAATCCCATGGCTAGAATTCTGGGAGTTGTAGTTGAAAAAAGGTAACTTTT